TCTCTCTCTCTCTCTCTCTCTCTCTCTCTCTCTCTCTCTCTCTCTCTTTCTCTCATTTGGTTATAAATTTTTCCCTTATCCACAGATCTGACAGGTAACATTTTCTATGCTCCCCTAATTTGCTTATGATATCACCCTTTATGTCCAAATCATGTACCCATTTTGACTTTATCTTGGTATAATGTCAGAAGTTAGATAATGCCTACTTTTTGCCAAACAGCTTTTCCGTTTTCTCAGCCATTTTTGTCAGATAATGAGTTCTTGCCCCCAAAGCTTGGATCTTTAGGTTTCTCAAACACTAGATTACTATGGTCATTTACTAATGTGTATTGTATGTCATCTATTCCACTGATCCACCACTCTGTTTCTTAGCCAGTACCAGATTGTTTTGATGATTATCATTTTGTAATACAGTTTGAAATCTGGTTCTGCTAGGTTCCCTTCCTTCATTGATTCCCTTGATATTTTGCACTTTTCAAATCTTAAAGCACTCTGTAAATGCTGGTGTTTATGATAACCCTAGTCATGTCATCTCTGGGTCAAAGAATGTGAATAACTTAGTCACTGTTCTTGTATTCCATGTTATTTTTCAGGTTGGTTGAAGGAATTAACAGCTCCTCCAACAGTGAATTGACATGCTTATCTTCCCACCACCTCTCCAACAATGAATTTTCCCACCATTTATCATCTTTTCTAGGTTGGTGGGTGTGAAGTAGTACCTCAGGTTGTTGTATTTTGCATTTCTCTGTTCTCAGTGAATACTGGACATTTTTTTCCCCAGGAGTCTGTTGATAGGGTGGATTTCTTCTTTGGAAAAAGGTTTGTTTGCATCCTTTAGCTACTTGTCTGCTAGGGAATACAAATACACTTTGATCTGTGGAAAGAGTTTGACTCATACCACATCCTCCTGTGACTAAGCCAGACGTGCTTTGATTGCATGTATTTCCTTCTGTTTTTCTGTTTAGCAGCTGAATTTTGTGGCCATTGAGAGCAGAGTCACTGAAAATGTCCTGTAGGGCTTTGGAGCCTGAGCCAAGGAGGAGCATTTGGGGAACCTCACTGCGTATAGGGAATCTCTCTTCCTTTTAGACTTCACGACAATGACAATGATGAATGCCTTGGCTGAGTTGGTCAGTGAGGTAGGCCTAGAACTGAACAACAGGATGATGGGAGGGCAGGCTAGAGCAAATCACAAAAATCATGGAGTGCTTTAGATGATTCTCAACCTCCTGAACACAAAAATCTACCTTTTTAACATTAATATTCTACTGGTGGGGCAGCATGGCATGGGAAGAATTCAATTCAAGTCCCATTTTTGAAACATCGGCTGTGTGACCCTGAACAAGTCATTTAGCTCCTTAGTGTTCAAGGGAACTCTCTAAGATTATCTGTATGATAAAAAGGAGTTCCCTTTACTGGTGAAATGATGGGTTCAGACAAAAAGATATATGCAGGTGGACTCTAGAGCTGGGAATCATGGCACATCACTCCCTCAGAAGAAGGAGGCAGTGGTGTCAGTGGATAGAGCCCTGGCTCTGGAGTCTAAGGACATAGGTTAAAAGCTGGCCTTTCCTATTTCCTACTTCTGTGACATTGGACAGATTACTTAATCACCCTGGGCCTCACATTCCTCATCTGGGAAGTGAGGGGGTTGAACTAGGTGGCCTCTGGTCCCTTCAAGCTATGAATCTATGATTCTAAGACTCTAAGAATGAAAAGTGACCGTGACCCAAAGGGAAAGGTGCAGGGTGGGTGCATGTCAGCTCCAGCATCCTGCCAGCCACTATTGGCATGTCGGGAATATTGTGAAAGACGTTCTCCAGGAAGCCTCCTGTATGGCCTGCGAAGGCTGTGGGCTAGTTCTGTAGCGATGGAAAATAACCCAAGCACGACAGTAATATCCGGGAAATAGTAATTGAACTAGATGGAAGCCTAGAGCATGTTGGGGGGATTCTCCACAGAGAATTTATAGAAAGACCTGGAGAAGCATCCCCAGGGAACAGAAGGTGTGGTGGGTGGGGCTATGATCTACAGAGTGAGAAGTGGGGGGCTGTCGACACTGAAGGGGTCACAGGTTGATGCAAGAACAGAGTTCTGAGCGCAGCACGGGTCCTGACCTAAAATGTTTAGGAGTATTCGAGCTGGAGCCTGAGATGCACTGTTCATTCATTCAACAACTGTTTCCCGACAGGGATCTGGAGAAGACCAGGACAGAGCAAGGCCTGTAGAAAAGATGTAGATGAATCTTTCCCTTGCTTAGGAAATGGAAAAAGCCCAATAGAGAAATGCTAGGGCTGAATAGAGGTTAGTAGAAGAGGATGGACCAACGTTGAGAACCTGATTGGCAGGTAATATCACATTTTGTGGTGTTAAAGCACATGTAGCATGGTGATCGGTGCACCAGACCTGCAATCAGTCAATGGACAAGCAATTATTAAGCTCTTATTATGTGCCAGGCACTTTCTAGGTTAGAAATTCCTAGGCTTGGGGGCAGCTAGGCAGCACAGTGGATAAAGCACCAGCCCTGGAGTCAGGAGGACTTGAGTTTATTTATTTAGGCAATTAGGATTAAGTGACTTGCCTAGGGTCACACAGCTGGTGTCTGTGGCCAGATAGGAACTCAGGTCTTCCTCAAGCTGGCTCAGGACTCCTGAGGCCCAGTGCTCTATTCACTGCACACCTCCCCCCCCAACTGTCTGTAAAATGGAGAGAGAATATCTTTAGCACCCACTTTACAGGCTTGTCAGGAGACTCCACTGAAAACACCTGTGTAAAGCTCCGTATGTTAGCTCTTGCTCTCTATAAGCTTGTCAAATCCAGGAGCTATTCATTTGGTTTTGGCTTTCTATCCTCAGCATATCTTACATGTCATGGCACTCATCAGATGAAAGGCAGCAAGGAGGAACTCACCAGAGGCAGAAGGTGGTGGAGGAGGCAAACGCTGGGTCAAACCCCCTGGCTCACCACAAGGCTGAGGGCTGAGAGGTGGCTGGCAGGAGGCCAGGTTGGGGGCGGCAGTGGAGGCCTAGGCAAGAGGCCAGGCTCTACCAGAGGAGCTTCTCTGGCTTTCTGGTCTCAGAACCCATTACACTCTTAAAAATTATTAAGAAACCTTCTCCCCCACAAAGAGCTTTTGTTCATATGGATTATATCTACTAAAAATTACTTTTTACAAAATCGTTTAAGTAGTATTACAAATTAAAATGTCTTAGAATTACTATAAAACTAGTTTTGAACCTGTGGTCCCCCTAAAAAAAGTCTCAGGGAACCCTTTGAGTCCCCAAACTACACTTTGAGAACCATTAAGCTAAACAAAGAGATTCTAGGGCCTCATGGGCCTGGAGTTAGGAAGACCTGAGTTCAGATATGGCCTCAGATACTTACTAGCTGTGTGACCCTGGGAAAGTCATTTAACCTCTGGTTGCTTCAGTTTCCTTAACTGTAAAATGGGAATAATAATAATATAGTACCTACCTCCCAGGGTTGTGAGCATCAAATGAGATAATATTTGTAAAAAACACTTAGCACAGTGCCTGATGCATAGTAGTTGATATATACATACATATATATATATATATATATATATATATATA